TATATATATGTATATATATATATATATATATATATATGTATGTATGTATGTGTATATATATGTATGTATGTATGTGTATATATGTGTATATATGTGTATATATGTGTATATATATATGTTCAACCAGACAGATTATTGAAAAGTTAGAAAGAGACAAATCCCACTGAGCAATCGTTAAATAAGATGGTGAAAGAAACTGGAAGCTTAGCATCAGAATGTGTGCAGATTTGAAGAGGAACAGGTTTCAGTGTCAAGTGTTTCACAATAATGTCTCCTATAACGAGCTTAATTATTGCTGTTTTCAACAAGTCTGTGCGAGGACGCATTGTGGTTAATTTATAAAAGTTTCAATACTACAAACGTCACACTTTGACATGTTTCTCACCTTTTTAATCTGCGCTGTGACTCACATCGTGGCTTTGAAGGCAGACACGCACCTCTGTCTGTTTTCATAATGAATAACCAGCGTCTCTGTTATCGCTCTCCGTCCCTTAAAGGTGTTTTCTAGGATGACGGCGGTGAAACGGGAGGAGCAATGAGGGTCTTTGGGCCAGCAGAGCTGTTCGCAGGCTTCTGCCATTCGGACGAGCAGAATCCTTTCCCCGTGTGGCAGGATGGACACGTCAGCTCGTGTTTTAACCAGCTGGTCCTCGGAGCCGTGCCTCACGCGGGGATGGCCGTCTTCAGCGCCTGCTACCTCGCTGTGCAAAGGTGGGTCACACCTGACAACATGCTCTTCTTGGTCTGTCCAGACAGTCTATTCATTCACTAGAGTTTCATACCGTGCAGTTTGTCCACATCAGTGAAACGTCTTTACCCTAAATTTTGGTTTTACGAGTTGGTAAATAAAGTTATCAATCTAAAAGTCAGTGTTTATTGTCCACCTCACATCAGTATTGGCCACAGAAATCCATTTCTTATCATGCATCTGTTGTATTTTCTGTAATAATGCTCCTGCTTTGTAGACGCGACCTCCTCCAGACGCCCCCCCCCTGTGGCTGGACACTCCGGCGGGTGTCGGCTCTGCTGGCGGCGCTGCTCTTCGCTGCCGACGTGGTGCTGGTGAGCCTCCTGCAGCAGGCGGACTTGTACCTGGACATCCTGGCCGACAGCTGCGCCGTCCTGGCCTGGCTGGTCCACTTCGGTGCCGTCACGGTGCTCCAGAGGACGGCTTTCAGGAGAACCAGAGGACCTCCTCTGCTGCTTCTACTGGTTCTTCTGTCTGTCCCGAACCTGGTCGTCACTCTGATGATTTACTGCAACGATCAGGAATATCTGAACCTCGTGGAGCCTCTTGAATTTGCTCGTTTTGTGCTCTCCTCGGCCCGGACGCTCCCCCTTCTGGTTTATCTTCTGGCATTTGCGTTTCCCTGCATCAGCGATGCCGGATACACTTTGCACATCAACGCTGTGGATGGATCCCCACTCGTCCCAGAGAGCACCCAGCCGGATACAGGGGAGATGGTGGCCGAGGACGGGAGCGGCTGCGTCTCGCGGCTCTTCTACCTGTGGCTGACTCCTCTCCTCAGGCGAGGACAGCGAGGGGAGCTGGACAGACCAGCTGACGTCTATCACCTCCCTCGGAAGCTTCAGACTACTGTGGTGTGCCGATACTTCCACCAGTGCTGGGAAGCCTGCCGACGAGGGGCGGCAGTCAGTAACGGGCGAGATCAGTGGCCTCGGCCGGTCAGCAGGAACCTCCTGAGCGGCACCTGGAGTTCACAATACCGGGAGGAACCACTGGAGCTGCAGGGTGACGTAGGCCTGCTGAGGGTGCTGCACAAGGCGTTCGGGTTGCGCTACTACGCCCTCGGTGTGCTGAAGGTGGCGGTGAACATGCTGAGCTTCACAGGTCCCCTGCTCCTCAGCAGTCTGGTGAACTTCATGGAGGACGAGGGAGCTCCAGTCAGCTGGGGGGTCTGGTGCGCTCTGGGGCTCTTTGCCACCACCCTTCTCTCTTCCTTCCTCCAGAACATCTTCGTCTTCGAGGTCTCCAAGGTGGCACTGTCGGCGCGCGCCGCTCTGGTGTCAGCCGTTTACAGCAAAGCCCTGCAGGTCAGCGGCTGCAGCCTGGCCGGCACCACGCTGGGAGAGGTGGTGAACCTGATGAGCACGGACACCGACCGCGTGGTCAACTTCTTCAGCAGCTTCCACGAGCTGTGGAGCTTGCCCCTGCTGTTTGCCATCACCCTCTACCTGCTGTACCTGCAGGTGGGCGTGGCTTTCCTCGGGGGGCTCTGCGTGGCGCTGCTGCTGGTGCCCTTCAACAAGTTCCTCGCTTCACGAATTCTCAGCAACAACCAACACATGCTCCGGCACAAGGACAGCCGGGTTAGGGTGAGAACCTACCAGAGAAGTCCTGTCGTTTTGACATGATGGAGGTAGCAGCATTATTATTATTGGTAGTAATAGTAGTAGTATTAATGATAATATTAATAGTGATGAGTGAATGTATCCCTTATTCATGAAGTATTTGCCAAATACGACTGTCGAGATTCCGGTTGTTCTCGTTAACTTTTAGTCTTTTCTCTCTCAGCTGATGACGGAGATCCTCTTCGGCATTCGCGTCATCAAGTTCTACGCCTGGGAGCCTCACTTCACTCAGAAGGTCGCCGACTGTCGTAAACAAGAGCTGTCCCACCTCAAGGCCCTCAAGTACCTGGACGCCATGTGTGTTTACACCTGGGCCGCTCTGCCGGTGGTCATCTCCATCCTCACCTTCGTCACCTACGTGCTGCTGGGACACCAGCTGACTGCGGCCAAGGTGGGGAAGCCTTTTTCAGAAGATGGTCGGGGGGGGGGGAACGTAACTGTGTTGGAGCAAACAGTGAGCCGGGAGGAAACAAACAACATTTTACAAACCTTAAATGTACATTATGTTTGACGAGTCGGCGTAATCTCGTCCCCTGCAGGTGTTCACCACGCTGGCTTTGGTGGGGATGTTGATCATCCCTCTCAACTCGTTCCCCTGGGTGCTCAACGGCATCCTGGAGGCCAAAGTGTCTCTGGAGCGAATCCAACGCTTCTTCAAACTGACCAACCAGGATCTGCCGGCGTACTACGCCCTCGGTACGCTGCGTCTCATCGCTGACCTGCAGCGGGTCACGGTTTAGTATTCGTTTGGTCCCGTTCGGTCGGTCGCTCTCTTCAAACATCATACAACTGTTTAAAGCTCCAGCTCTTATCATTCACCACTTTATGAAGTTATGTTTCATAAAAACTAAATGTGAAAGTTAGAAACCTCTGCTCATTAAATGTTATTATAATTATCTATCATTATTTCTCTCTCTATCTATCTGCCCTAGTGTCTCCTGAAGACAGTCAGACATCGATCCTGTTGAGCCAGGGGACATTTTCCTGGCAGGGGCCCGACAAAGAGAGAGAAAGTGAAGCTGGAGCTGCTAAAGGGAGTCTGCTGCTGCACAGCCTCACTCTGCACGTCACCAAGGTGCATCCCTCCGCCAAGACGTACACAGTACATCACATGACAATCACCTCACTGTCTCCGTGGCCTCGTGTTCTCTTCAAGAGCAGAGGACGGAATTTAAAAATCCAATTTCAAACATAAAAGTGCTCAGACATCACTGGCACAAAGCACCAGTACAGCGTTGATAAAACCGAATATTAAATATTGTATTTTCATTCCAAAAATACTTTTAAGGGTGAAAACTTTCAGTTAGTGTGTCTTCAACTTAACTGAAGTCAAATAAAAATGATTTGATTCTTAAATAAAATGTTTTTTGATGTAGAATCTTGGCGTCGGTGTGCGGCGGTGAGAGCAGTAACGTATGGTGTTCTGGTTTCAGGGCTCTCTGGTTGTGGTGGTGGGGAAGGTCGGCTGTGGGAAGAGTTCCTTACTGGCTGCTCTCACTGGAGAACTCAACAGGTAAACTTTAATTCTGTATTCCCCTTTTGTTTCCCTTTTATACTTCTAATCATCTCAGTAAATCTTGTACTTTTTACATTGTTCATCTCCTTCCTGTCCAGTGAAGATCTCGTATCTCCAGATGTGTTGATGTTGAATGTTTGTGATAAACTGGAGGAGGAAATGTTTGAAAAGACTCTTTGATCAGCTGGAAAATACATCGACACAAAGCTGAAAACAGGTCTTTTGTTCTTTCTAGAGATGCGAGGTACTCACAGGACTTGCTATGAATTTTATTTGTAAGGTTAATGCTCACAAAGAGGAATAAACCATCAGAGATTGGGGGGAAGTTAGGGAGTATCATACAACTTCACAAATTCATTAAAAACGTGCTTTATTTTTGATGATACTTTTCATCCCGACTGTTGTGTGGACTAAACTCACCGGTCCTCTTCATTAGAAGCGACTTTAACAGCTTTTAGGTCTCTGAACAGCGTTTTGACTCAGTGTTCTTCTCTCCAGGCTGAGTGGGGTGGTGTACGTCGCAGACCGAGAGGCCGGATTCGGTCTGGCGTCTCAGGAGCCGTGGATCCAGCATGCATCGGTGCGGGACAACATCCTGTTTGGCAAAGACTACGATCCTGACTTCTACCAGGCTGTGATCGACGCCTGCGCCCTCTCCGACGACCTCAACGTACGATCGCTTCGCCCTTTTTATGTCTGCGTCTTCTCCTGCTTTTGCATTTCTCACCTGCAGTGTCTCAGCGACTCTCTGGGTTGTTTACACTGAGACACATTTTGCACCTGAAGCGTGGACTCTAAAGACGGAGACGACCGTCCATCGGTCGGTCTAACGCTTTGGTCCAGAGCGAGAGCTCTTCAATCGATCGCCTGGAGCCTGATAATACAGTTTGTGTGATTATTTAATATGTTTAAATAACTCCTCTTCAGGTTTTGCCGAACGGTGACCGGACAGAAGTTGGAGAGAATGGAGTGACTCTGAGCGGAGGACAGAAGGCTCGTCTGGCCCTCGCCAGAGCTGTTTACATGGTGAGTCCTCTGCACACACACCAGCCTTCTGCTTCAAGCCCAGAGAGACGTGCAGAAAAGGACAAAAGCACTTCACAATGTGATACCAATAGGTTGCATTGCTTATGAAACATGTCATACTGATGCTGCTATATGACCTACATAAATAGACGGATGCTGCTTTGCTTTTATTAGATTTCTGTGAAGAAGTTAAGTTGGCGGGAGGAGAGTCCTGCCTGTCAGCTCTACTGTCTACACGTGGAACTCTAAATCTTGTCATAGAATGAGACCATTAGCCAGATGTCTAGTCGCATGTGTAGTTTACTTTTGAAGTAGTTTTTTGACCCCAAAAGACGGAAGACTTAAATGTTTCAAACTTCCATTTAGTTGATGTCCCGACAGAGTTGCATGCCGGCGGAGAACGCTGTTGCAACTTGGATGCTGACTTTGTTTTCCAGTTCAGAGAAGAGTCTGTGACCCTCGATCGTTATTGAACCTCAACGGTGTAAATATTGAGTTAGTCTGTTTTTATTTGGGCCCTCTGCAGTCGACTCAGTGTTTACCCTGAAGAGGTTTAAACTGTGATTTGTTCAGCTGGTAAACCAGTCGTGCTAACTCTAGACTAGCCTTCTTTTCCTATTCTAAGAGCTTTGCTAAAGCGACATGTAGCCTGTTTAATTCCAGCTTGTAAAAGGCTGCATTATTGTGAAACACTTGACCGTGAAACAGGAAGCTGTTCCTATTTAAATCAGCAAACATGTTCCTGCTTTAAGCTTCCAGTTTCTTTTAAGCTGATTTTTGTTCTTCTTTGTCTCTTTGTGCTCTTTCGGCTGTCTGCTGTATAAATCCTTCTACAGCGTTTTGTTCTCCATGTACAACACAAAACCCCACGTGTTTGTAAAGAGGACTGTCTACAACCTAAAAGCATGAAAGTCCATTCAGACACATAAAGTAGTCCTCTCAGCCGCCTGACTGCAAACAAACAAACTTTTATACAACAACGAAGCCAGAAAAACATGTCCACGTATCATCAGCAGGTGTATCATGTGATGCAACCTTTTCTTTTTGCAGGACAAAGACATCTACCTCCTCGATGATCCGCTGGCAGCAGTCGACGCCGATGTGGCCGAACACCTCATGAAGAAGTGCATCATGGAGCTGCTCAGGGGGAAGACCAGAATCCTTTGCACACACCGCGTGGAGTTTGTGGACAAAGCCGACATGGTGGTCCTCATGGAGAACGGAACGATCGTCAAAACGGGTAGAAAACAAACATCCTGCTCAGACGGGAGCGAATGTCACATGTGGTTGTTGTCATCATGTGACATCTACTGTAGTAGAACACTGACTGTGGAGAAGAACCTCATACAAACACACTTCTGAACATCAGAACTGTCCTTTAAGATATTTGGAACGTGCTCTTTAAGTTGAGAAATGCTGCGTGCTGTGTTCTTGTAGAACCTGTGAATGCTGACTGGGTTCCTTTTTAACAGGCACACCAGCAGAAATCCTGCCTCTGGTCGAGGCGGTGCCGAAGAAACGGAAGAATGACCACAACATGAGAAAGAAAGGTTTGTTCACCTGGAGTCAGGACTGCTTCACTGGAGAGTGTGGATGTTGCTGATCGGCATGTTAGCATGTTAGCATTGTTGGCATGTTAACGTGGGGCTATTACCGTTTAGCTCTGTACTATGCTTAAGTACTCTCGTTTGTTTAACTTTTTTAATGAACACTGTGGACTTTAAATTTTGCATGAAGAAGAGACGTGCTGCTGACCTCCTCTTCTTCATGAATATTTAATATTAGCCTATTTATGTGTACCGGTTTAATGTGTTATTACAGCAGGCTCACAACTTCTGTGTGAACTCTTCAGTACAGTGTGGTGGTCTTTTATAGTAATCCCATTATTTTCACGTCCCCCCTCTTGGTTTTAACCAGATGGCGTGCAGCAGCAGCAGGAGGAAGAGGAGGAGGAGCCGGTTTCCTCCCCTAATCTGTGTGTGGATGATGACCCTGACCTGTTGGGGGCGGAGCAGAAGCAGGTGGGCGGGCTGGCGTGGAGAGTTTACCAGACCTACTGGGTCGCTGTGGGCGGAGTTCTGGCCGCCTCCATCCTGATGTCGCTGCTCCTCATGCAAGGTTTGGATCGACCGCTCTTCTACAGCTTGATCTGAGTACAGTGATGACGCTCACTTTCCCCCGTTTAAATCCACTTTACAACAAACTGCCTGTGTGTGTGTGTGTGTGTGTGTTTTGTGCTTCAGCCTCTAAGAACGTGTCTGACTGGTGGCTGTCTCACTGGATCTCAGAGCTGAAAAACAACGGCTCCACCAGAACAAACAGTTCCTCCTCGTGTGCCTTCAGCTCACCACACCTGCTGCTCTTCTCACCAGGAGGGTTAATGTAAGTTGTCCAATCAATAGTAGATTCTCACAATGTCACTTGAGAACACGATAGTATTCTCACAACTGTTCATAAGGCTGGAATCAGCTGTTCTATTGATCTTTTTTTTAACAGTAATCAGTGTAACATGTCCTCATCGTAGCTCAGATTACTGATATACCATGTTAGTCTGACAAACATCATCATCCATCATCTGTGATGGTAAACAGGACTATTTTTAAGTCTTTCTGACAACATTTCACTGAAGTCTTAGTAACACGTTGACGTCTTCCCGCTCAGGTCTCCTCTGTCCTCTCTGCAAACACTCTCCTCGAGCAGCAACATGAGCTCCGATGTCAGGTTTTACCTGACGGTGTACGGTTCCGTCGCGGCGGCCAACACCGTCTTCACCGCCCTCAGGGCCTTCCTCTTTGCCTACGGAGCCATCTGCGCCGCCGCGGCCATCCACGACAGGCTTCTGGAGCGGGTCCTTAAGGTGCGTCGGCGGAGCTTCGAGCCTCCCTGAGCAGGCTTGAGTGTTTTGTTGTGTTTGGCAGCAGCGGATGAAGGTTAGAGGACCAGGCTGACTGACTGAAGGGTCGCCAGGATGAAACTCCAGACCAGCTGATGGGAGGACGTCACTGGAACCATCACTGTAAAAAGATTGCTGTAGATTTTACAGTAACTTCCTGGCAGCTGGATGCCAGGAAGTTACTGTAAACGTGTTTATAAATATAAAAATATTGAAAAGCAGCTTTAAGATCGTTTTTCTGAACTTTATCTCCCTGGGTTCATTTGGTTGGTTCATCTTAACTTCCTGTTCACACCCTCCCCTCAGGCCACCGTGTCCTTCTTCGACACCACCCCGATGGGCCGCGTTCTCAACCGGTTCTCCTCGGACCTGTACACCGTGGACGACAGCCTGCCGTTCATCCTGAACATCCTGCTGGCCAACGTGTTCGGCCTGCTGGGCATGCTGGTGGTGATCAGCTACGGCCTCCCCTGGGTGCTCGCGCTCCTGCTGCCCCTAGCTCTGGTGTGCCACCGCACGCAGCGCTTCTACCGACACACCTCCCGGGAGCTGAAGCGCCTGTGCAGCATCACTCTGTCGCCCGTCTACTCGCACTTCTCCGAGACGCTGACCGGTCTGGGAACCATCCGGGCCAGCGGCAGCTCTGCCAGGTGAGAGACGTGTGGGAGACGAGTGGTCATGATAGATCTGCTGATAATTTACAGATTCATCGATGTCTAGACCTTCTTTTCAGAGTATTTTCACACATATTATCAACTACTTTTATATTTGGGAAAATGTACCGACATTTTTAGAGTAGCATTAATCTTTATGGCCATTTATTAGTCAGTTTTAATTGTTTAAAACAGGTTTGAGGTGAGAGAACGTGGTGAGATTAATGAAAAGCAACCTTTTCCAGGTTCTTATTCTGAGTCCCTGCATGGCATAGCTGTTCGCTATGTTGAGTACTCGTAAAGCAAAATTCCTCTCTTTGCTCTTCCTCTAAAAGCTGAAAATATTCTTGGTATTACAAATACAGAACTTTTACATAATCAGACGGGATTTGGATCGACTGGCCAACTGTTTCCATCCTCCAAATCACACTTGGTAGCTGAAAAAACTACCGCTCACTACTACAAAACAAGAAACGGCTGCACACGTTCTCCAGTATGTGACTGAAAGCTTAGAGAATAAATTAGCAAATCTTCTGGCAAAAAACTTATTTTTACTTCCCAGAAGTTGCTGTGATTTTGGGCTGAGTGGGTGGATTTTATTTTTGAATCTCTCTTCCGCTTCCTGGTCCAACAATCAAAGTTCCTAATCCGCGTAGCTCTAGAAACTCCATATTTTAGAGACACCAAATCCCTGAAAGATTTGATCTAATCCCTGGAATCACACCCTGCCCACATGCTCCGCTTCACTCCGAGATAAGTTGCAGCCCTAACCATCGTTTCACTGCGTCAGACTCTTTTCGTCGTTGCAGGTTCGAGGAGGAGATCGCCCGGCGTCTGGAGCAGAACCAACGCTGCCTGTTCCTGAGCAACGCCGCCATGCAGTGGCTGAGCATCCGCCTGCAGCTGATCGGCGTCGTTGTGGTCACCGGCCTCGGGGTGCTCGCTGTCGTCCAGCACCAGTATAATTCTGTCGATCCAGGTGAGTCCGCCGCTGAATTTCTTTGGTGGCTGTGCACCAGTAACATGAGATGACTCGGTTTTCCGTGATGCGTGTTGCTGTCTCCAGGTCTGGTGGGTCTATCCCTGTCCTACGCCCTGTCCATCACGCTCCTGCTGTGCGGCCTCATATTCAGCTTCACCCAGACTGAGATGCAGCTGGTGAGCGTGGAGAGAACTGAGGAGTACTCCACCGGGCTTCCTACCGAGCCGCAACACCAGAACACACAGGTGAGGCCGCCACGAACCCAAACTGATAACCAGCCATTAAAGAGGGGGTTTAATGGAGCACATGAACTAGAGCAGTGGTTCCCAACATGAGGTCTGGGCCCCCTTAAAAAAGAAAGCAGATATTTAATACAAATGTATACAAAGTTAGACAAGCTTCACAGTGATTTTACTGTGTATGTAATGATGTTTCACTTCCTCCTCTGTGTTTCACCGTCAGCTGCCGCCGGCGTGGCCCGAGCAGGGCTGCCTGGAGCTCCGCGGTGTGGTCCTGGCCTACAGGGACGGTCTCCCCAACGCCCTGGACGGAGTCAGCCTGGTGGTGCGAGCCGGGGAGAAGGTGGGCATCGTGGGACGCACGGGCTCCGGGAAGTCCACCCTGTTCCTGGCCCTGTTCCGCATGGCGGAGCTGAACCAGGGTCAGATCCTCCTGGACGGGCTGGACATCAGCACTGTGGGCCTGGCTCAGCTCAGGTATGTGGTGGTGGGGTGAATTAATAATTCCTCCCTCTGTTAGACGTTGTCTTTGGTGGACAGATCATCCTTGTTTTTCACACATTATCTGTAGCTTAATTCAGACTTCTGTACAGTGTAGTAAAAGCACAGCAAGTAATTTTGTGTGTGTGTTGTGGTGGCGCCCTCTGCAGGTCCAGGTTGGCCATTATTCCTCAGGACCCCTTCCTGTTCAGCGGGACCGTCAGGGAGAATCTGGACCCGTGTGGGCGACACTCGGACCAGCAGCTGCTGGACGTGGTGGACCAGTGCCACCTCGGCTCTGTGGTCAGCAGGATGGGTGAGAGGTGTACCGAGGGAGTCGGTAATGAAAGCGGGGCGGGTGAGACGGGGTGACACAGGGAATTAAGGATGAGCAGAGCGACACTCATTAACATCAGGTGTGTCTGTGTTCAGTTAATCCGCCTGACTCACTGTCCTGTAATTCGCAAAATGCACTCCGCCCTTTTATCATTCCTGTGTGGTGGCGTGATTAAAGCCTTCATCTGCTTCTGTGGCAGTGATTGTTGATCAGAACATCTGAAGGAAGGGTGCACCCAGGACAGGTTACAGGACACCTGATGAGGTTACAGGAGATCAGGTTATAGCTACAACCTACCATCCTTTTCTTTTTCTCATCCTCCTCTTCCTCGCTCATTTTTTTAAAAATTTATTTTGGAAAGAAAAAAGCAGGAAGTAGAAGAGGAGACACTCTGAATATTTAGTTTAGTGGATGCAGGAGAAATGGACTCTCTACTCTTTGTACTTTAAGACTTTAAACGTGAAAACACGACCTGGTGCAGCTTCCTCTGCAGCCGATCTTGTGTCACATTTGTATGCGTCGCTTCACACCCCAAAAGCTTCGGAGTGATGTAACTCCTTTCATGTGTGTGTGTGTGTGTGTGTGTGTGTGTGTGTGTGTGTGTGTCAGGTGGTCTGGATGCTGAGGTTGGGGAGAGAGGGAAGTCCTTCTCTGTGGGACAGAGACAGCTGCTGTGTCTGGCCAGAGCTCTGCTGACTCAGGCCAAGGTGAGCCCTCACAAAGCAGTTACTCTTCTACAGAGCAGCTGCTGACATTGTGCTCATGTGGAAGCAGCAGATCATCAGTTTAAACGATGCTCCAGTAAATAGTTCACCTTATTTCTCTTATGTATTCTTTTATTTTTTCTTTCTGTTAAAGGGACAGTTCAGATGTTATGAAGTGTGTTTGTATGAGGTTCTTCAAACAGTAATTTAATCTTGTTAGTTTGTGTTGTTGTGTGACTTTGTTGAATCCAAAGTCGCACAAACACACTAACAGATGGAGGCAGCGGTGGACCAGCTGCTCCTGGGTGTTCTGAGTCTGGTGGCTCTGAAGAGAGGTAATCCTGCAGTCAGAAATCTGTCTGAGTCAAGGTTTAGTGGTGTAAATATTCTAAATATAACGTTCATTTAAACTGACGTTGATTCTTTTAGGAGTCTAAAATACGTCCTCAGCAGAACATTACTTTGCTCCCGTGCTGGTTCTTCCTGGTTCTCCATCTACTGTAGTAGAACCCTGACTGTGGAGAAGAACCTCATACACACACACTTCATAACATCTGAACTGTCCCTTAAACAGGTATATTTAAAAAGAAAAAGAAACAGCATTGCATAAGTTACGGTTGTATTTTTTTAAAGATTTCACCTTTTCAATATGTGTTTACAGTGCAACCAAACAAACGCGCGTTCTTTTGGAAATAGGTTTTCCGTCATTTCATGAGCGACCAGCATCTGATGTCGTGCTGCATGCGAGTAGTTTTCCACACAACAGCAGAGCACCGTGGAGCTGGTGACCTGGCTGAGGAGCTGCAGGCTCAGCCAGCAGCTCACTGCAGTAGAATCCAGTAGAACAGAACTCAAGTTCATTCAGCTCAAATAGAATCGGTCGCTCGGTGCGATCCCGGCACAGAGACGAGCTCGATAAAGTCTAATTATGATCATCAAACGTAAACAGTTGCACAAATACAGCTGTTAATGATGCTAATTAGTGCAGTCACTTCACTGGCACATGTTTAGAGAACTGGGTGTGATTTCATGGATGTCTTCAGGATTAGAGTTTGATTTACAGCCCGAACCTATTTCCTTGTATTCTGCTCTATTTTTATCACACTGTTTGATTTGTTCACATCACGAGAGCCTGACACTACTCGCATGTGTAAAAGGGCGAGTCTGCCAAACATCACACCCTGCTCACAGAGGAGGGCTGAACCAAAACTTTTAATTTAAAAACAATTTCACTCCGATTGATTGACAGCTCACCTCCAGTTGATCTAATAATTAACCTCCAACTTACACGCGTCTGTCAACGCTGCCCTTGTAAGTAAATGTTTGTTTAAAAACATGTCTGCTGTCTTACCACTGTCTCTATGAGCCAACACACCTTTAGCAGCTGAGGACTCAGTGAAAACAGTAAACTCACAATAGATGCTCACTATTTGTGTCTAATATTTTAGATTTTTAACTGAGCCTCTGACACAAAGTCAATTTAACAAAGCAATGTTTTCCCCTTAAATATCCGTCCCAGTAGCACCTACACGTCTGTAACCACTGCTTCCAATGAAACCACAGCTTTGCACCGTAACCCCCCCCGATGTTTCCCCTCGTGTAGGTTCTGTGCATCGATGAAGCTACAGCCAGCGTGGATCAGAAGACGGACAAACTGCTGCAACAGACCATCAGAGAGAAGTTCCAGCACCAGACCGTCCTCACTATTGCTCACAGGTGACGGCTCTTCTGACGCACACATTCATTTCCTTTCTCTGTAATATTACAGTCAGCCGTGGACACGTTTGACAGAATTAGGCTCCTGCTCTCGTGTTTCTCTTTTGTTTGTTTTTAAACTCTCGTGTCTCCAGGATCAACACCATCATGGACTGCGACCGGGTGCTGGTGCTGCATGCTGGGAAGGTGGTGGAGTTTGACACCCCGGCCGTTCTCTACCCGAACAGACCGCTCCATCTTCCTCAGGCTGGTCGGTAGGAGAGGAGAGAGAGACGGCTAAAGAGACTCTATGGAGGATTTTGGAGCAGAGAAGCGGGGCAGTGCCTTGCTCCAGGGTTCTGTTTGACCTGGGAAGTGATGATGTGGGTTTGTGGATATCTTCTCCCCTTTATGCTGACACTTAGCTTCTTTCAATTGATGCTCAAACAGCAGTAATGGCGGAGTCAGCGAGAAGGATTGTTGATATTTGTACTCCACACACTACCGTCCCTCTCGCTCCCGCTGCCTTTCTCTTTATGCATCCATGTGCGCGAGCACGAACCCCGCCTCTTGCTGATTGGCTGGAAGAGTGTTTTGCGGCTCGGTTGAAGACTCGGTTGAAGTGTATTGGATTAGAATTGCTGACTGCACCCTTTATCTGACATTTTCCTGTTTTTCTTGTTGGAGGAAAAACTGTACTTCCCTTAAATTACTTCTTCCCACGGTGGCTGATCTCTTTACTTTTCTTTTTAAACTATGAAGCAATACCAATCTGCACTGCATAGGGGTCAATCAAGCCTCTGTCCTGCTTAGATATGTTTTAATGTATTACTACAAGCAGGTAACGGGCAGCAGGCCTCACATACGACTCTCTGTACTCGACCATCGTCGTGCGGCCATGTTTGTTGTTTTTGCTGATTCAGGGGTTTGTGTGCAGCTGTTTCAGGGTTTATCTGTGCTGTGTTTGTTCTCTCATGTGTATCCGTTACAAACAGCTGTGACTTCATGTATTCCTGACATTTATTTCCAAACTTGTGTCAACACGTAAACCTTTCATTATCCTGACTGTCGTGCTGTAACGAGGTGTTTTAGGGACGACACAGTGTGAACTGGAACCGACTGATTGTTTTCCTCATCGATGAATCGTCACAACGTCCAAGAGCTCAATGTGATCGCCCCAAAACAATGATTGCACTTTAGTTTAAGACCATGTTTGAGTACGAACCATCAAATATTAGCTTGAAATATGACTTAATTAATGGATTATAATAGCGGCTGATTAATCAACGAATCGTTGAAGCTCTAATGTAAACTTTAGCTCAAATACCGAATGAGTGAGAAAAAACATGTATTACTACATGCATGTATCATGTTAAGAGCCACTGAACACACTAAGCTTACTGTATGTGAAATGTGATATATTTAGAGATAGTTCTGTAGTGTGTGTGTGTGTGTGTGTGTGTGTGTGTGTGTGTGTCTGAGGTCCTCCACAGTCAGGGTTCTGCTACAGTAGATGGGTTTATAGAGACGGACAGGAGAACCAGCACAAAGTAATGTTCTGCTGAGGACGTACTTTAGACACAGACTCCATCTACTGTAGTAACACACAGACTATGGATAGTATGAAGTTCTTCATAGGACCACACCCTTTAACACAATCACATGTGAATGCTGTTCATTTGAGAAGGATTTCTTTTGTTGTTTTTTTCTTTTGTTTTCGTTTTGTCACTGAGGTTGCTTTACAATGAAGGTCTTAATAAAGCAGTTACTTTTCTAATAAACGACGTTGTCTCACAGTTCTTCTGTAACATCAGAGTCCATCTGGAGTAATCGTACCGGTTCCAGGTACGATTACATAAGGACTGTGGAGCCAGTGAGCTCTCTCTCCTTTGCTTTCCACCCAGATTCACAGTGTTTGTGGCTGTAATCAGAGTGACTCACGCAGGGAACGCCTGCCGCTCCCTTGGCACAGGGCAGCATTTTTCTCACATTGACATTCATCAGGTTGTCAGTGGGGGAGTGTTTGGTTTATGTTTTTCTGTCTTACCTTTCCCGTTTGTGTGTGTGTGTGTGTGTGTCGCTAAGTACAAATTCAAGGTACTTGAGTACTTTCCTTTTGTGCTACTTTATACTTCTGCTCCAGTAATTCTGAGGAAAATATTGTGTTTTTTCCTCCACTACATTTATGTGACGGCTTTAGTTTCTGCACAGCTTCACATTAGTGATAGAAGATATGAATCAAATAATAAATAGTAATGTATTCTCTGCCCAGCAGTAAATAACGCAGTTAAATATAGCCCTGTGTTTACTAGCCGCATCATTAATTATAATACAATAATATAACTTATATTAATCCGAAATGAACCATTCTGCATAATAAACACTTTAATACTTTTGGTACTTTAAGTATATTTTGATGTTCATTCTTTTGTACTTTTACTTATAATTAAACGATCTGAGTACATCTTCCATCACTCTGTGTGCGCGTGCGTGCGTGTGGGTGCGTGTGTCTGTATTTAGATTGTGGTAACAGATGTGTTGACGTATGAGGGGAAAAACAGGTCAAGGACTCAAGTTGTACTTTTGCGTGTTTTGTGTTTTGTCTGCATATGAGCCGCAGGTGTGTGGTAGTCAGGGTGTTTGCACGATGGCGTGTGTGTTTGTGTATATTGACAGTTAATGGAGGCGGGATATCGGAGGTGCAACCTGTTCGCCTGCTTCAGGTGAGGTGTTGGTCCACCTGCCTGCAGCTCCTCTCCTCAGTCACAACCTGCAGACAGACAGCAGGACTCGTAACTCTGTGCTGAAAACTCTTCGACGCAACACCAACACCGCGGAGGCCAACCAGCTGCCCGATGGACCCTGAGGTCAGTCTCTTGCGTCATTGTTTCCCTGGGTGCTGCCGTCTCCTTAAGGTGACGGTGTTTCAGTTTCAGGCGCCGTTATCCGGGTGGTTTCTGTCACGCGTTCATCTCGACTACAGAAACTGTTGAAACACGTCGTTTCCTTTTTGGTTCATGTTCAACCAGCATGTGCGCATGAACGGTTTTATTTTTCTGTCTTGCACACACAGTTTTAGTTTTTTAGTTTCCACTTCTCTGTATCGTAACACTCATAATTACATTTTTCTAAGAAACAGAGAAAAACGTGTTTTATTTAAAAAGTCGGTTATATTTGTATTCATTTGTTTATTCGTTCGGCACAGTGCACGTTAATAAAACATCACTGTCAATGTGCCAGAGTTAGACAAGAGGCTATTTTTCAATAGTCTCTGGGCAGATGTTACAAAGTCACCCTAAAAACAGAATATATGATTAAAATGATAAAATAGTTCATCCTTTGCATGCAGAAACAATAAAAGAAGAGAGAATATTATTATCCCTTATACTTTATTGTCAAGTACTATTAAGACATGCGAGGCTCATGAGATGACGCATGCAAAGCAAATAGATGATTATGTAATAGAAACATGGTCTAAAGACAAAACCATGCTGCATTGTTCGACACTAAAAACATACAGAGCAGAAGCACAAAACATAAAAGCATGAGTATGTAAAATGTAAATATTACATGAAGTTATTTTTGATGGCATTAGCTTCACCTTGCTGTGTGCACCCTCTTATTATCACTAACTACACATCCTCTGCTGCTGCTGAGTCACAAATGTGCTGACGGCTCACAATGTAGTGTTGCTAATGAAGCAAAGAACGTGTTTTTGATCGATCGCTATCTCTATTGTGCATCAGCTCCTACTGACGGAACATTCCGCCTTTATATCTGCAGGCAGCTGCACTTTGGCTTTGCCTGTAAAATGCATAATATTTAACTTTTTAAGTAGTAAATCCGCTGCCTCCTTTGCACAGACGACCTCTGGAGCTAAATGCCATTAATCTGGCTTCACACAGTAAATGTGGAGGTTTGTCTTGAAGAAGTGGTTGAAAATTAGAGTATAGTACATTTTTACTGTCTAATATTCTGTGTTTTGATTGTTTGGATACTGACATTGTTGTCTTTTCATCTCGTTGACATCATTTCACACTTATTTTGTGTGAATGAATGTTGACTTTTAACAACAGCTTGACATCTTAAACACATATATTTCTTAAAATTCTGCTCATGCGCCTTAAAAGTGATGAGCATCATTTTAACCTTCTGCCATGTGAAATGTAAACTATTTCGTAAATATCACATTGATATTGAAATAATCCCGCGCTGATTAAATATGTTTTGCTATAATGGCACACTGATGCTGTGACATATAGATAACATTTCCCGTGTGACCGTGATACACTTTTATTTTGATGTGTGGAGTTCAAACTGCAGTTCGCTGCTGTAGAATAGAGCATATCTTCATCCAGCTCAACCCTTTCACATGCTGTTGATAGAACATAGCGTGTCTGGATTTACTGGAGGCCTGCCAGTGCTCTTCTATACGTGGAGGGTGTGGTCTTTTTTCTTTTTCTTTTAACTTTGTGTGCTTAAAAAAAGGAAACACCCAACAACAGAACACTTGTCCGCAGTGCTCTCGATAGACCTGTTCCTGGCTTTTTCCCCTTCAGCCATAACTGAAATACCTGAGAGACGCACCTGTGGAGTTACCTGGGTGTCACTCTTCCACCTGTATGCAGTCAAACTGTTCTGTGCTGTTCATTTATTTAGAATCTTCAGTAAAATGAAGATTTGATATTTATTTTAGTCTAAATGAGCTCTTTACACACTGAGATAAGATGTAAAATGTAGACAAACAGTATTAAAACATACATTAAAAACTCCAAATGTAACCCAAGAAGCTTTTAAAAAATATGTACAGATTTAGAATTTCTTTGAAACAATGTGCATTTCATCAATAGTCTCTTTTCTGTTTCAGCTGTAAACACATTGCTTTGTTGAGTGTAACTAATACAATAAACGATACCAGTGTTTCCCGTACATACACGGTATTAGTTGGCAGAGTAGATTTGCCCCACCCAAATGTTATTTCTTGTTCTCAGCTTGGAAATGCATTTAAAGCTGAGAAGAGACGGAAGTCTGCCAGAGCGGTGCATTCAGGTGCCATAGTGTAGATTGGAAAAATGGGCTTCTTAGTTAGAAGTTAGAGCAAGAATGCTGCAGTTTTTCTGCCATTGATTGATTAACAAAACTTATTTTTCACTTAGTCTTCCTTTACTTCAGTGGTTTAAACTGCTTTGAGATGTGCAACTATTGTACGGAGGGGGAAGAAGTTCTCTGATCCTTTACTTGAGTAAAAGTATTAATATCATATTGGTGTAGAATACCCTGTTACAAGTAAAAGTCGTGCATCTTAAGTAAAAGTACAAAAGTATTAGCATCAACATATACTTACATTACCAAAAGTAAATTAGAATTAATTGGAAATACCAAAGTAAAGTACAAGTAAGTGAAAGTTGTACTTAAGTACAGTACTGGAGTAAATCTACCTCGTTACATTTCACCACTGCTGTTTGATCATCTGTTCCATTGAAGGCCAATTCATGTTCCTGCTGTTTTTGTTATGGAAGCTTTAACGTGTAACATTCAGTATCTCGAAAGCTGCACTGAGTGTCAAAGAATTACTGTAAATCTGTTTAATGAACATTTTATTCTCCTCTACAGGTTTAGTCAAAAGGGTTGATTCAACGCCACTGACAGAGACTCAAGGTTCATGGTACGTAACATCTACATATTGTTTTTAGTTCTGTGTTAATAATTGTTAAATTTCTGTTGCTGTTAAAAGCTCATCCTGTTGATACGAGCTTCTGTTTTAAACACTTTATCAAACGTCTGTGTTTGCAGCCGTCACACCGCCGGGGAAGAAGTGTCTCCGACGCCCTGACGCTGGAGGAGGAGGGCTTGTCGTTTCCAGCATCAACAACTCAGCCAATCAGGGACTGAGGGAAGGTATGTCTTAGATTTTACATTTTTAACAGTTGAAGTCATTGTACATTGTTAACCCGATACACTTAAAACTAAGTGCGTAGAATATACTCACTTAAAATGTGCAGTTTTTATTGAGTTCACTACTTCAGTCGTTTTTTTATTGAGTCTTATGGTAATTATTGGATTGTAGTTTGTGTTTTTTAATTTACGGTACTATAACTTCTTGAAAGCTGTCTTTAATATTGTGTACGGTAGTCTAGGAACACCTTCACACAATCAATCACAGTCCAGTTGTAATGCATTACATATTTTCTCAGTGTAAATTTATGTTTAGCAGATTATGATCGAAATACAGTATAGCTCTCTGAGGACATTCAAATGTTAAATACTTGTTTGGGAGGTTTGTATGCTGCGTAATCAGAGATTCAAGATGCATTTAAAACTCAGTATCCAATGCAACGCCATTGTTAGTGCCAGGTTTAGGATTCTATGCTTCAGGTGATACATTATGATCTGCACCCTTGTTTTATGCACACACTTGAATTTTCTTTTTCAGGGGATGAACTTTTGGGGGCAACAATAAATTTTGATCAACAGTCAAACGCTGAGGTGTTGAAAGTACTGAAGGTGATGGAGCCGTTTGACGACAAGGTCCGAGTCCTCACCAGGAACAACTTGAGCAAGAGCCTCGGAAACTTGGACGAGTGTTCCAAGAGTCCTGAGACGGTATGTGAAGTACAGATATTATCAAATCAAATGGGATGAAAACCAAACAGAAGGAATTATAATTACATTCCAATCACCAACTTGTGGTTATATTCCTAGATGCTGAATGATTCCTACAACAAACTCTACAATGCCAAAATCAGGAAGTTTATGAAACGTGACTTGCTTGGTTCCATGGAGAGCATTGTGACCGGGGAGGTTTCCGCCAAGCCAACTGCACCAGGCTCATCCAAGGTCCACCCAAAGAACAACATGGGGTTGCCTCGCCTCGGAGTTGACTTTGGACTTATGAAACCCAAGACTCTGACCACAGATATTGATGATGATTCACAATCTGATGACGCTGGAGAACTAACATATGACAGCAATCTGAACCTTCCACCGATGGGTCTCGGGTCGAATGGGAATGCTCTAAGTGGAGCTCAGGTACCAACACTGAAAGTCGATGCTAGAAATCCACAGTTTAACGCTCCAGACTTCCATTTGTCCGGAACATTACCAGAGGGTCCAAACACTACAGCTGGTATACAACTGCCAAACACTGATGTATACAAAATGCCGAAATTCAATCTGCCAGACCTGGGCCTCTCTGGACCTTCTTTCAGTGGTTCAGAAGGTGAGGTCAAGACACCAGATGTAGGAACCCCAGATGGTCCCTCGGGTAAACTCGGTCTCAAGTATTCCAAGAGACTGAAAAACCCAGATCTTAATCTGGACAATCCTTCCGGTTATGTAGAGACACCTAAACTCAGGCTGTCTGGGAGACCTACTGACTTAGACTTAGAAATGCCAGGTGTTGATGTATCACAACTTGATATACATGGGCCGGACATTGACATGCCTTCAGGAAAAGTCCAAATGCCATCGGTTGACACTAAAGTTCCATCTGGAAAATACAAAGCTCCTAAATTTAAAATCCCCAAATTTGATTTGCCACACTTTCAAGTTCCTGGTTTTGATGGAGATCTGAAGGGACCAGATGCTGATATTCGAAGTCCGTCAGGAAAAATAAAGATGCCAAGTTTAACAATGCCAGATTTGGGACTGTCAGGACCAAAGCTTAAAGGGCTTGATGGTGAGCTAAGGACTCCTGATCTTGATCTCTCAGCCCCCAAATTCAAAGGAGCTATTGGCTCCTCAGATTTGAATTTTCCTGAGATGGACCTTGAAAAACCCAAACTAGATCTTAGTGGACCAGACGTCGACTTAGATATGCCCTCTGGTAAATTCAAGGTACCAGCAATGAAGAAACCAAATATTGGCTTGAATGCTCCTGAGATGCATATTGATGCTCCCTCAAGCAAATTTAAAATGCCAAATTTGAACCTTTCAGGCATATTGCCTAAGGGTGGAATTGATGCCCCTGACTTGAGCTTACCAAACATGGACTTCGAAGCTCCAAAGATGCCAAAATTTAGTCTTCCAAGCCTAAAAGGACCCGACATCGATGGTAATTTCAATGGTCCAGACATCAATGTTGATGCACCCAATGTCAATCTTAAAGGTCCTAAAGCTGATGTGGGAATGCCAGATTTTGATCTATCTGGTCCATCGGGTAAATTCAAAAAGCCAAAATTTAACCTGCCTGATTTTGGGCTTTCTGGTCCAAAGTTAGATGGCCCTAACCTGGACCTCAAATCACCTGATCTCAATTTCTCTGGCCCTAAACTCAGTGGTGGAATAAATGCACCAGACATAAACATGCCCAAGTTTGACCTCAAAAGCCCCAAACTGGACCTTAATACCCCAAAGCTTAACATGGACATGCCATCAGGTAAACTGAATATGCCAGAGCTTCATTCTCCAGACTGGGATGTTAAAGCTCCCTCGAGTAAACTGAAAATGCCTAAATTCAATCTTTTTGGTACATTACCAAAAGGACCAGATATGGACATAAACACAGATCTGAATTCACCAGATCTGAGTCTGAAAGCTCCAAAGATAAAGGGTGGAATTGATGCCCCTGACTTGGACTTACCAAACATGGACCTTAAAGCTCCCAAGTTCAATGTTAACACTCCAGATGTTAACATTGGTTCACCCAAAGCAAAATTCAAAAAGCCCAAATTTAAGATGCCTAAATTTAGTTTTCCAAGCCTAAAAGGACCTAAGATTGACGGAAACTTTGATGGCCCAGATGTTAGTGTAAATGCACCCAATATCAACCTCAAAGGTCCAAATGCTGATGTGGGAATGCCAGACTTTGATATTTCTGGTCCATCGGGTAA